TTCTTCTCTGTTTCAGAAGCGTGGATAGAAAGTTCGAGAGAACCTATCGTCATCAGACCCTCAAGACGTAGCCTTGGGCATTCTGTGACAACATAGGCGGCGAGTTTCGCCAGATCTGAGGCTTCGACATCGTCGGAGACCGTAAGGGGAGCCAAACCAGACTTGGCATCTTCTCCTGAGGTATTGACCTGCAGAAGAACCCGAAGCGTTCGATCCGAGGAAAGTGCCTTGTTCAATGCTGTAGCAGCCTTTATCGAACCAAGGGTTTGGATTGCATAGAGATTTGGGATTGCTGAGCAAGCCCTTAGCCAAGGCTTTGAAAGCAGAAGCCAGGTACTAACAAGCCAGTGTCTTCGCTTTGTTGGACTGCAAGGTCCCGATAAAGTGCCATCTAATGTCAGATGGAAGCTACATATCGGTGCTGTCAGGATGCAATTCGGTGACTTCAGCAGGAAGGAAGCATGGCTTACAATCTTCGCTTTTTCTTCTAATTCCTGCACATAGTTTTCCCCAAAATCTAGCTGGCCGAGTTCATGACATGCCAAGATATCTCCCGAAGGCTTGTACTTGGACACGGCAACTAGAGTACCTGTTGTGGATGTCGAAGAAGCCACTCGTTCTTTGATTTCTTGCAGAGATTCCTTCAGCTCCTCCTTGCGCTCTGGTGACGCTGATTCCAGAGACATGGCCGCCAATCTATAGCTGCTAGATATGGTAGCAAAACCGTTTTTAAACGTAAAATTGTGTCGGCAGGTGAAACCAGGTAGGGTACTGAATGGCAATGAGTGGAAGAATGGGAGCCGCATGGAAGGGTGATTCCCAGAAAGCTCCCACGATGGCCCAAAAACATACCTTTTGATCCGCTGGCCCACCCAACTGACAGTGGGGACGGGCAAGGCCCTGCCAATTCAAACTCCGACGCCCACGCCAAATAATGTCCGAGGGTGTCCGCCATTGTTGTACCTCTCCCATGTCACTATAACGCTTACATTGTGCAGAGAGAGTTGTACGTTTAGCACTCCTATTCAAAACGGTCGTTGTGGAATTATGAAATATTGCTTGGATGGCGAGATAGACCCCTTCTTTCGAAGGTTTTGGCATAACAGAATCGAATCTCAAGAATTTGACAACGACCATTCTGATTGTAGAGCTCTCTGGCACAACTATTTGCTGTTTTAAAGGCAATAAGTGGCCACCGAAGGGCAAAAAGTGTGTAAAAACTGGCCGACGCCCAAGTCGCGACTATAAATGGTAAATGATCTCAGTTAGGGGCTATAATTGATGGCGCTGAACCGCCGTTGAATGAGTTGCAGGAACAGCTGCTCATTGCTGTTGATTGGTATCTTCGACGATGTGATTACGAGCGGCAGCCTATAGTTTCCAACAAACGCCTTCAAGCCGAAAGTACCTTGATGAGCGTTCCAGTGTCTTGGGAGGAATACGATGACATTATTGACGAAGACTTTAGGAAGTGGTATCGCACACTTTCGCTTATTTCTATCATTTTAATCTGCATCGAATACACCAATACTTCTTATATATCTACATAATCTGCATATACACCTTATACATCCTGGTTATACTGCCTACTATTGCCCATACACTTGGGGTCTCCTTCCGAGCATCCATTCACCGCAAGATCAGTCGAAAATAGGGGCCTGGGAAGCGAGCTGTCCTAAAACGGCAAGGACACATTTCATGGCACACGGATTTGGGTGGGGTTGCCCATCCCCACTGACAGTGTGCCTCCTAGAGGCCTTCGACCCGACACAGAGCGTGGTGAATGTTAACGTTGTTGTGGTGCAGGTATCACCAATCACTTTACTTTTACGCGTAAATGGGTAGAGATTCTCTGACTGTACAGCACGCATTCATCTCCCAAGATAAGAAGCTCAGCAGCTCTGGCACAGTCGTTAAACTGGTTGAATTACATGTGGATATTATCTACAAATTTCTCGAAATGTCCTGAGGTAAAGTGTCTTTGGTATTATTGTCCGAAAAGTAGTCTTTCTCTACAAAATGTGTGTTCCTATGCTTTGAAAGTCCAACCAGAACAAGCGCAGCCTCTCCAAAAGTCCTTGTAACTGGGTCCATCGTTGATATCGACACCTACACCATACCTCCCAAGACATCTCGGTGCAGAAGCCACCGTCCTCCCCTCTTCATAGATCCTCAAAAACCCGACCAGATCTACCCCGGGGTGCCCAACCAGCTCATCGAACTTCCTATCTTCCTTCCAGATTGACGGCAAGGCATAAGGAGACAGGGAGTCTGACTCATCGCGAAGCTTGATGGCTACGGTGTTGCAATTGAGGAGTAGGGAGACCTTGAGCTTGGGTCTAGAGCCTTCCAGGGGAAGCGTAGAGACCGATTCGGAGATCCATTTGAGAGCGCCACGCAGCGCTGAGAAGATCGTCAAGACCTCGAGCCACTCTAAAGCGTGCATGACCCGAAGATCCAAGCCGAAGAGTATTGGCACCTGTATGGCTTCGTCTGAGCAATGGATCCGATCCCCCAAATGGAGGCATCGTAGCGTGTGCGAATATGTATGGACGAATATCCGCTCCCTCTGGCCGAACACCTCTGCAAACGACCTCCACAAGCCAAGTTGAAGGTGCTGCAGCGAGCCTTCTCCCGGTGTTACGCCCTCGTCGAGCAAAGCGATGTCAAAGCCTTCCCCTCCGGCAAAGAGATGTGAATAGTTGTTGTGCGTGTGACAAACCGCAGTGAGACTCTTGAGAGTCGACAAGCAACTGCCAGCCTCTGGACCCATCCCGGCGACAAGCGATCGCAAGGCAGCAGAAGCGGGTGCTTGAAGTGTGAGGGCTTCCAGGTGCTGGAGTCCGAAAAGGAGGGTTCCAAACGCTCTGGATGTGAAAGGGCCCAAGGGTTCCGAGCCGACGGTGCATTGCGCCACTTTCAATCGCGGGGCTTGTCGCAACTTCTCGATCAAATCTATCCATTCCCCTGGCAGCCCGCCCTCCTGATCCTGACCAAATTGCCAGAGGAACACTTGAAGCTCTTGCGCGTGCTCCCATACTGCAGGGGGGAAGGCTTTGACCTTCTGAGGGCCGCTCGATGGGTCAATTTTGAGCCTGAGGACCCGATATAGGATAGGGCGACAGTACGCGGCCATGGGGTGACACGTTAGGGCCAGTTTCCAAAGGGTAGGGGCATCCTTAGGATCAGAGAGGTGGTCATCAATGATCTTTTGAATGACTTCGAGTGGGAGAGAAACTGATTGCATGGGGGCATTGCTCCGAGTTCGCGTCAGGTCCCGCCGCAGAGTGCGCAGGGGCTGTCGCTGCGGTGTTCGAGGAAAGACCCGCCTAAGCGAAGAGAACATCGTGGTACGGGTAAGAAGACCGAGTGGAGTGGTAGACGTTGATTCCAGACCGCAAACCACCACATTAGGGGCATTCCTTGAAGGTGGCAGATGTGCGAAGGTCAAGCGAAGGTCTGGCGTGTATATTAATACTATAAAGTATGTCCCAAACGAATGCCTAAATACTACGCTCTGAAACTCCAACCGGAACAAGAACAACCTGCCCAGAAATCCTCATATCTAGTTTCCTCGTCAGAATCATCCACCACCCCATACCGCCCCAAGCATTTCAAAGCGGAAGCGGCAGACCTGCCGGCCTCGTGTAGACGAAGGAATCCAACCAAATCCAATTCGGCTTGTCGTTCTTGCAGTATGCTATACTGTGCATCCCTCAACCCCTGCTGCCAAGTGTTCTTTGAACGTTGAGGAGTCCAGGTGTCGCGTCTATGTAGAAATGGCATATTGCAGTTAAGGATAAGGTAAATCTTGAGTTTGGACCGCCCAATATTGGAGGTGGGAGGAGGAAGTGTCGTAACGGATTGAGCAATCCAACGAAGGGCTCCGTGTAATACCGAGTAGATCGTCAATACTTCAAGATATTCCAGCGCGTTTAAGCTTCCGAGGTCCAAGGAGTCGAGAGTAGGTGGGTTTATCGACAAATCTTCCGGATCCGAGGGCAATACTCGGTCACCCAAATGCAGGCATCGTAAGGTCTGAGAGTACCTGTTAACGAACGTCTGATCTCGATGGCCGAAGCATCTCCACAGGCCCCATTGGAGGTGTTGAAGTGACCCTGTTCCTGGGGCCACTTGGTCGTGAAGCAATTCGATAGCGAACCCTTCTCCCCCAGCGAAGAAGTGTGAGTACCGATTGTCCACATGATAGACGACAGATAAATTCTTGAGGCTCGGCAACCAGCTAGTGCCGCTACCAGCTAGCCCTACACTTTTGATAAGCGGGAGCATTGCTTCTTTGGTCGGCGCTTGGAGCGAAAGCGTTTCCAAACGTGGTAGGGTGTATATAAGTGTTGCAAATGCGGCAGATACTTGAGGGTCCAGCGGTTGTGCGCCTATGGTACACTGCACAACCCTCAGGTTCGGTGCCCCTTTCAGCGCTTTGATCCATTCTGCTCGTTCTTTGGCTAGGTCTCCCTTCGTCTGCAGATGGTACTGCCTGATGGAAATACGCAGCTCTTGCACGTACTCTAGCGCTGCAGGTGGAAAGATGGGGTTTGCCCGAGTCCAGAGGTTGCAGTTGAGTGTGAGTGTCCGAAAGATGATGGGACGACAACACGAAGCCAAAGTGCGACATGTTGCCCCGAGATTGCGGAGACTTGAGCTATCCTGGGGCTCAGAGAGGTACTCCTCGATGATTTTATGGATCAACTCCAGAGGAAGGGGTAGGGACTGCCCAGGGGCGCCTTCCAAATTGGATACATCCGAGTCGCGTTCTTGACGTTGAGATGTTTGGCCTTTTGGAGATCTGAAGAATCGACGGAGGGTAGACGACATGGGGAATAGTGTCAGCAACGGTCAAGAGACATCCAGGAGGTTGGGGACAAGTCTTTGGCAGCTTGCTATCAGACAAGAATGAACCCGCAGACCATTACATGGGTCAGGATTTCCGCCAACTGTGGTCTCGCAATATAATTACAAAGCTGGCACCAGCCTACATGTCGGATATGGTGTAACGGCTAACATTGCCGCCTCTCATCACGTGATCGTTGCGCGGCAGCTCGGGGTTCGATTCCCCGTATCCGAAGTTTTTATTTTGGCCAAGTCATATTAATTAGGTCGTCGTTAGACCAGAAAAATATATTCAAGCGAGTTTTGAGCCGAGGAAAAAGGAAAAGAAAGACTGGTGAAGAAAGTATAGCAGACAGTTTTATCACTCGTAAGCTATGCTTCAAAATTTACATGGACTATGCCTTTGGTATGCAGATCGCAGAGCCCCTGCAGCAAGTAACGCTTTGCAACCTCCAGTCCAATACCATCTCCTTTGTTGCTCGCTGATAGGTCGATGCTAACGTGATTGACACCAAAGAAGGACAACTCCTGCAGAGTTCGCTGAAGTTTTGACCAGTCGACGTCAGCTCTCTGCACCCCCGAGCCACACACAAATCCCAAGTCGATACAACGCAGGAACGGGGACTCGAGCGCGGAGAGAACGTCGGGGAGCGCCTTTGCCACCACATCTTCGCCGATGTTTGCGATTGTTGGGTTCACCGAACCCGTGCAGGGATAGCAAAGACCTTCGATCGATAGATGACCGAGTTGCGGCATTTTGGAGAGCTTCAACCCCTTCAATGTTCCCCCTTTAGAGTATAAGTATTTTCTCCTCTGATAGCAACACAAGGAGGCGTACCTTCTGAACAAGCAGCGAAGCCTAGTGTAAGGCGACGAAGGGAGGGCCGCGCCCGTTTAAGAGCGGCTCGAACCACCGACAGATCGTCAGGCCGTATGCCTTTGATGGACAATCGCTCTATCCGAATGTCATCTTTCTTGTCATATGCGGCGACCAACCAACTGAGGACAGCAGCAACAGCATCCATCCCATCCTTTCCATCAACGCCGACTTCCCTCAACGAGGCTATCCAAGGGAGCTTCCCCGCATCCCTGCAGGTCTGGTCTCTGTACTTGAGGAACGACACCTTGGCCATCACTAGCCGGGATATGCTTGGGAAGAGGGCTGCGATGCTGACGGCTTCGCGTAGATCGTGGAACGTGACACTGTTGAAGAACAGACAATGCAGTGTAGGGCGAAAGGGTGTTGTGGAAAGGTGGTGGCGAATGCGAGAAAGGATGGGTGGCGGGAAAGCTGTCCAGTCGGCATTGCTAAGCCCCAGCGAAGCTATGTTGTTCAAGGATGGATCGGTGAGCAGGCGGAGGTTCTGCGTGAACTCGTCCGAGGAAGGTTTGGATAGGCTGTCTTCTTGACAAGGTGACCCGCATCCGGCATCTAGTGTGACGCTTTGGATGCACTTTCCAAGTGTGGAGTGTTTGGCGGCCGCTAAAGCGACGAAGGGGAGGACATCCGTGGGCCTAAGGGTGTTGGTTGAGAACAAATGATACCGAGACCTTCTTAGCCATTCCGAGGATACGAGGCTCGTTGAAGTGAGCGCCTTGCCTGGGTAGTGGACGGCAAGGGAGTCGATGATGGTGTCGATGAGCTCAGACGGCAAAAATGAGCCAGACGTTGCGCTTCTCGAAACCATAGAAGCGTCAGCGTGATAGAGCAAGGGAGGTAGTTACGAACCCACCTCGGTGTCGCGGCGTTGGTCTTAAGGGCCAAAACAGTCGCAAGAGCCGTCCGAGTCCGTGTGACGGAATGGAAGCTTGACAAACATGTCAATTCACACCGACAGCCATGAAGCCTGTTCCTCTGTAGCCTGAGAACTCATGACTGACTTATATGCGCTGGGTGGCGTACCAGTCACCAGGGGCCCCGTTCTGGGATTAGAGGAGCCAAAACGTGTCCGGGTGACCCCCAAGGGTGCTGCGGAATGGATTAACTTTAAGAATGTTAAGCGCCGTCGGTGATAAAGTGATGTCGTCAGGGACAATAGGTTATGAGAGCAATCAAACGTTTCGCAAACACAAGGCGAAAACGTTGCATGCTCCGCCCTTTTCATGATTGAGAACCGAATGAGGTTGCCAGCCCGAAAATAACGAACGTGAACGAACAAATGTGGAGAAAGCCGCACATATAGAGCCGTCGGAGTCATTGAGGCTTCATGCAGAAGAGTATGCGCGTGCAGTGCTAGCGGGGAGTGCCTGCCCAGTGATGGGTCAAACGTTGATGGTGGTTGGAGAAGAGGATGTTGAAACTCCGACAGCGCTTAATTGCCATCACATCCGCTCCGATATATGTTGTAGACGGCATTGAAATTATAGCAGAGAAATAGACAATTCAATTCACTTCAAACATTGAAACATACAAAAGGTCCAATGCAAAGTCCGATGACGAGGAACTAATCGTGAGTGTCGTTAAGTGTCTAGTACTTCCATCCGAAGAGGAGAGCGAAGAGGAGCCATCCAAGGCCACCAAGGAGAGCGAGGACAGTCTTCAGCCTGTGGTGAACCGTGGTCAATGAAATGGTTCTTGTGGGAATGCGAAGAGGGTTGACTTACAGAACACCGACAAGGATGAGAACGCCAGCAACGACCAACTCGAGACCGAGGAGCAGCTTGTAGAGAGCGAGCTCGAGACCGAACTTGATGAACAAGAAGTACAGATGAGGCTTCTTGGTCTTGATCTTGTCGGCGACCTTGACGTGTTTCTAAACCAGGCGTCAACGGCTGGTCGATGGCAAGTGGCAACTTGCGCTTACCTCGACGATGCTGGCGGTCTTCTTGGCAACGTCATCCTTGGTGCCGCCAGAGCTGGTATCGACCTTTCCTTCGAGGGACTTGAACTTTGCCGTGGTGCTGTCGGCATTGAAGGCGAGGGCCTCCAAGAGAGGAGCGAGGTTGTCCTCGTTGGCGGTATCGTTGTCAATCAGAGTATCTAGGCGGCGGTGAGCTTGACAATGAGAGCAAGGTTCAAATATATGCACTCACCAATCTGGGGGATGATGGCGTTGGTACTGGCATCCCAGGAGTCGAGGACGGCAAGGACATCGGTGATGTCTTCGCGCTTCGCAATGGGAGCGGGAGAGGGGGCAGCCAAAGCAGAGATGGCGCCGACGGCGAAGAAGGAGAAGAGAGCACGAGCGAAGAACATTATGGTTTGATTGAGAGGGTGTAGAAGAGCTGGAGACTCGAAGTGCTGCTGCTGGGTGCTGCTACTGCCTCTACCAGGTCCAATCCGCAGCCCCTTTATACGCTGGAATCTCCCAGTGAGCCTTCAGACTCTGAGCACATCCAAGGGTAGGTATTGCGCGATAGCGTTGCATGACGCGAGTAGCGTCACATTGAGTGCTATCTGCAGGGCTTTCTCTGGCTCAATTCTTTGTCACCTTCTACCAACTTCTTGGCCATATTTTCCCAAGTCAAAGTGGAGTGGGAGTGCTTCTGTTTGTCGTGATTTTGAGATAATATACCTGGGATGGGATAAGACGCGTTCCATCAATTAAACTTTCGTCAGGCCGAAGTCGCGAAGGTCGAAAGCCATGATATCATTGAGGTTTGGGGTACATGTCAAAACGGCAATCAGTGAAAATGAAGTCGGAGACAATCCTTATCCCGCACAAGCGCCGAATCGGATAATCTTATTGGACCCATTTAGACTGGTCACTCCCATTCGCGGCGCCGTGAACTGCGAGCAAGGACGGGGAGGTAGAGCTGCCCAATCGGGGTCGCGCAATAGTCCCATATCCTGGCGTCAAACCTCCTGGCAGATACTCCACCGCGTGAGTTTTGCGATGATACCCTGGTTTGCCAAACATACGACTTGAGGGAGGCTCTCCGAGTACCCAGCGTCTCAGAAAACCCTTCTTGTTTGTTGGCGAGTCAGTGGTCTGGATGACCATGTCAACGCTAGTAATAAGTCTCAACAATGTTTCAGTTGCTCACCCGCAGCCTAGCTTTTATAGCTGGAAATAGTAAAGGGTGTCCTTCGGAGGCCCAACAATACGTCCTTCGAGTCTGGCATACAACCGATTAGGCCCTGCAACATCATCAGAAGGTTGAGCAGGCGCATAGGCCACTTGAAATTCCAGCTACAGATCGCAGCTCCGTCCTATGACACAAGCCGGGTTCCAATCGCCTTCCCCGCCCTTTCTCTCCTGTTCTGCAACAATAGGTGGTAGGACACGCAAGTAAGGCTTCCGTAACTGGTCGATGCTTACATTTCGCCGAATATGGCGTCAGTCCTCAATGTACGTCAACTCACCTTTTAGCGGGCTCACTCTTTCTCCCACCGTTGCCACTACTCCGTTCGATTTGATCGAGATGTTCCTTGTTTCCGAGAACCGCACTCATCCAAAGTACACCTCCGGACCTTTTGCAGCAGTTCTTTGACCAAAAACCATTAGCAAGTGGTGGAGCATCCATCCGAGCGATTCTGATTCTAATTGTTGGATTTCCCATGCACTTGTTCTTCTGAGCCGCATGAAAGTTGAACGGCGTCGCCATGCTGGACCGCTCTGTATAGTTGACGAGTTTTATGGCCCAAAGCGGCATATTTAAGAGTGTCTCAGGCGTTCAGCCTTGTGTTCTGCATGTAGTATTCGCTGACATCCACCCACAAGGGACGTATCATGGACCACTTCGAGCCGGGTTCGGGAGGGCATTCTAGCGCCCATTAGAAAGCGTGGGCAACACTCGCGACGTCAGGTTTCACTCATGTCCCATTATACTCTGTCTTGTTCCTTACACACGTGGGCGTTTGATTTCTGCAATTCCGCTGCGACTTCCAGATACATATCAGATGGTGTGACCTGCAAGGTCGGAGGAAGCAAAGGACTGTCATCGGCTGGTAGGCCGCGGCCTCCTACATGCCCTCAAGAACCCTCAAAGAAGTTCTTTTCAACATCAAGCGGTGGAGTAACTGACAGAGACTTACGAAGTAAATCTGAGAAATATTACAGAAACTGTGAAGAGTACGGAGAAGCGCTTCCTATAGATATAGTGAAATCTCAGTTAGAAAAGTGAGTCGCTTTATGCCCTTCCTTTTGTCGAGCCAACCTATACCAAAAAATGTACCGCCCTGGTGCAATCTTGCGCCCTCAATCGGGTAAGCCTCGTGCTGAGTTGGGCCTCCTCGTGGCTCCGAATCGGCATTTATGCGGATCCTCAACTGATGGAGCTTTGCCTTCGGGGACCTCAGAGTGTCCTTGATTGTCGCTGGAAAGGACTATGATATCATAGCTTCGCAAATTCTCTACCTAATTATTGTGAACGCAGATGAAGATCTAGTTAAATGCACGAGGCTATACTTGGAATGTCATCCAGGATCGTCGAATGTCACTCCAACTTCCGTGCTCCACTCTGGCTTGAGAAATTTGACGGAATGACTGCGTTAGAAGCTGCTCGAGGTGTAACAGTCCCTCAACTGGGAAAACATCCTATCCATAGAGCGGCCGCCGACAAAAACAGCACAGTCGCACTTAAACGTCACAATCGTCATGCAATGCTATCGCGCAATACCTACCCTTGGATGTGCTCAGAGTCTCAAGGCCCACCGAGAGATTCCATCGTATAAAAGGCCTGCGATTTGGACCTGGTAGAGGCAGCAGCAGCACCTAGCAGCAGCACTTCGAGTCTCCAGCTCTTCTACACCCTCTCAATCCCATCGCAATGTTCTTCTCTCGTGCTCTCTTCTCCTTCTTCGCCGTCGGCGCCATCTCTGCTTTGGCTGCCCCCTCTCCCGCTCCCATTGCGAAGCGCGAAGACATCACCGATGTCCTTGCCGTCCTCGACTCCTGGGATGCCAGTACCAACGCCATCATCCCCCAGATTGGTGAGTGCATATATTTGAACCTTGCTCTCATTGTCAAGCTCACCGCCGCCTAGATACTCTGATTGACAACGATACCGCCAACGAGGACAACCTCGCTCCTCTCTTGGAGGCCCTCGCCTTCAATGCCGACAGCACCACGGCAAAGTTCAAGTCCCTCGAAGGAAAGGTCGATACCAGCTCTGGCGGCACCAAGGATGACGTTGCCAAGAAGACCGCCAGCATCGTCGAGGTAAGCGCAAGTTGCCACTTGCCATCGACCAGCCGTTGACGCCTGGTTTAGAAACACGTCAAGGTCGCCGACAAGATCAAGACCAAGAAGCCTCACCTGTACTTCTTGTTCATCAAGTTCGGTCTCGAGCTCGCTCTCTACAAGCTCCTCCTCGGACTCGAGTTGGTCGTTGCTGGTGTTCTCATCCTTGTCGGTGTTCTGTAAGTCGACCCCCTTCGCATTCTTACAAGAGCAACTTCATTGACCACGGTTCACCACAGGTTGAAGACTGTCCTCGCTCTCCTTGGTGGCCTTGGATGGTTGCTCTTCGCTCTCCTCTTCGGATGGAAGTACTAGACACTTAACGACACTCACGATTAGTTCCTCGTCATCGGACTTTGCATTGGACCTTTTGTACTTGTATTGGTTGATTCTGAAACTGAATTGAACGTTTTGTTATCTCAACCTTTTCATTTGACATCGACTTTGACATGGATGCGCTGCAAGATCAGGGAAGCCACATACATTCGACAAAAACCAAGAGCGGGGAACATAGGGATTGCTTACTTCCATTTCCACTTCAGAGCACTCCATACTCCTGGCCCTACCACCCACGCCTCGCAAACTCCTCAAACATATCCTTCGAAGTCTCCTCTTTCGTTCGGTACTTGAGTCCAAATATTCCTTGCTCCTTCTCGGTCGAAAGAGAAGGCAGAGGCTTCCTCTCAACGTCGGGAACTCCAGCAGACAACGTATGGTTGGGTAAAGCTGAAGGTTTGAGGTTGTATGCCGCATCAACTAGACGTTGAAACAAATCATCGTGATCAATATCGGTGTTTTGTCTCAGAAGCAAGATCGCGAATACTCACCCTAGTCTTGCCAAATAAAGGGCCCACTCGCAACAAATATCCTCTCTCCGCCTGCCTTCTCGACTTCGAGCGAGCGAACATGCGCCTCGGCGAGGTCACGTACATCAGCCCATACACCATGAGCAGACAGCGCCTCCGCAGTCTTGGGTGTTTCACTAGAAACTACGTTGTTCCAGAAGAATTGAAGAGAAATGTTGAGTGCGGAGGGAGAGGAAGCTGGACCAAGTGGAGGACCGAACAGCTACCGCATTTCGCAGTTAGACAGACGATTGAGCAAAGAGTTAAAGCAGAGGCTTACCATAGGTGGGACGATGACGCCCAGCTCCCACTTGACTTCAGCTTTATGCTGTTCATAGAACTTTCAAGCTTCTACATTAGGATCGGCTGTCAACGAGTCACTTCAATCTCAAGAGCAGTCTCGACTACATACCCTTCTCAGCCAAAGCCTTGGAGGCGCTGTATATCGCCAGTAGACCAGCCTTCGCTCCGGTATCCTCGACAGCTTGATAGCACTATCGTTCCAGTCCTCTTCGGTGTAGACGCGATGTTCGGCGGGTAGGTCAGTAACCGCTGAAAGGCTGGAAGTGACAACGATCCGCTTGATTTGCGATGCTCTGAAAGTTGCCTAAAGGTCATGCCATTGGTCTGAAAATGGAAAAAGACGGGATACGCACTGGTCTTTCGAAGCACTCTGAAGAATTCCGAGGGTTCCTTTCACCGCCGGCTCGATAAAGACTTTGTTGCGATATGAGTACAGTGTGGCGCAGCAAAAAGAAGATGCGAGCATACCTTCTGGCTGGGCATCAGGCTGACTAAAGTCCAGAGGGGTAGCAGTATGCACAACACCCTGAACGCCTTTGACAGCTTCGTTCCATGCACCTTCCTACAATGATATATGTAATACATCACCATCCGTTATCCAAATCTCGGGCGCAAAAAGCGGGTAGCGCAGACTTACCTTGGACATATCTTCTACAATAGCAATCTCGACCTTACCCTGATAATCTTTGAAGAGGTCAAGGACAGCAGAGCCTTTGCTCTCTGAGCGAACGGCAGCGCGTACACTGTAGCCTCGCTCGAGGAGGGTTCGAGTGATCCAAAGTCCTAGGAAGCCGTTGGCGCCAGTGACCAAGACTTTATCATAAGGAGCGAGGATGGGCATAATTCAAGCACTTAGATCGCTACAGAAAGGGAGTTGAGTGGGTAGTTTGGTTGGGTTGTATGTCTATCTCAAGTACATAGCGACCCTTCTTATACCTACAGCGCCTGTTACGAAACGGGCTTGAAGACGTTGGCCGAAAACCTGAACGGTCCCTTGAATGACAAAGCTGGTTACTGAGCAAGAGTTCATTCAAGTTCATTCGAGAAGATACTGTGGGATGACAAAGTTCCACATAGAAGTAGTGTTGGTAAGCAAGCGGTCCTTTCTAATTCTGCACATGGCCTGGATAAAAGATTTATGCACAATCTTCTGGGCGTTAGAGGCGCTATAGTGTAGTGGTTATCACTCGAGATTCTGATGTATATGCTTCCTGAAGTATAGGTATTCTCGAAACCCAGGTTCGAACCCTGGTAGCGCCTTTGAAGGTGAAACGCCGTCATTCCATATATATTTTTGCTTGCCAATCGATTGAAAAGGGGGATTGTAGACAGGAAGTTTTACTATCAAAGAATATACAATCAAGATGATCTCCACGAGTATGTTTGCATGTTGTGAAGATCACATCAAGAGCGTAGTAAATCAATCAAAGAGAGGCAGGGAGTAGGAATCGGAATAAAGGCGATCGATTGTTTTAGAAAATTGCATGACCAAATCAAAATGCAAAGTCCCATTTCGCGCTGAGAACACTTTCTACTACGGACGAACGACCAAGAAACCTAATCTAACAATCCTCTCGTCTCACCCTCATCTCCTCCATGTCCCAATCTTCCAAACACACTCTTCACACACCCATCCAACCAAATCCACACGCCCACAAACGCCCGCTTCGTCCGACTTCCAGCGTTTTCGATTCCTTGACTCGCTGTTTGAACAACGCCTTTTGCTTTGCCGTTGGCCTCTTGGTCGCTTCGGGTAGGCGAAGAGGGACGGGAAGATGAAAAGGTGTTGACGATGATACTTTTGATTCTCTTCAGCTGTTTTGCACGTTCAGTGACGCGGTCGCCTCGGACGCGGTGTTGGTTGTCGACTGTGATAGTCACAGCTGCATGAAGGAGATCGCTGGTTAGCGGAGTTCCGTACAGCTGGGAGGACAGAAAGGAAAACTTACCAGCGAAGCTAGTGAGGATGGCTGCTAGACTCGTCGAAGCGGTGATCATGAACATGATGATCATCTGGAGTCGTGCAGCTTGTGCGACGTCTGCTCCACCGAGGATGGCGCCAGTCATCATGCCAGGGATCGAGATGATACCTAGCACGCTGTAAGGAGAGGGCAATTACGGGATTAGTGACTGAAGGATGGGAAGAGGAAGGACTCACCTCATGTTGTTGATTGGGTGCGTCAGCGCCAGTCTAAGCGCTTCGACGACGACAGGTCTGCATGCTTCTGCTCTTGACGCGCCGAATGCGAGGTAGATTTCTACTTTGTCGCGGTTCTCACTATGGTTGACGAGTTAGCAAGGTTAAAACAAACAAGGTCTGGTGCAAACGGAAGAGTAGCAAAGAGATATGAGTAGGGGGCAACTGATGATCAAGGAATGGACGCGACATTGGCGAAGAAACGGGCCAAGTCATGCAAGACTCTTCCATGCCTCAATGCCGCCAAGGCAATGAACGTGGAATTGGCGCGTAAACCGGTTCATAGGAGACCTATCAGCGAAATAGGCTAATAAGAGCGCATGCGTATAAACAAGGTTGCCGTTGGTGAGGCGATAGGTGGAGAAAGAGAGAAACGTGAAAGGAGGACGAGAATGAAGACGAACGGAGACGCACATTAATTCTTTTAGAATATAACTTGTTGATACTACGATTCCTGATATCGTTGAGCCGCAAAGCATTCCAACGATGGGTACTGGAGAGAGCAAAAGTTCAGGAACGCAAAGATAGCTAAGGGAATGGGATCACTCACTATATTGAATAGGTTTCCAAAATGGCTGCACGCTCATTGCAAAGCGAGTGCCAATGATAGAAATAGGAATTGTGGAAGACAACATCCCACATAAAACAGCTGGGAACATATACTTGAAACGCCGTGGTGACTTGTTGACCACTGCAAACACCATCAGACTTGACCTCCACGCATAATGAATCATGCCACTCACCAACTTCAAATGTTCCCAAAAAATTGAGAACGAACGCGATGAGCACGACCAACCATGGGTTCTCGGTCTCAAACACGCTCTTGAGTAGGCTCGCGACGACGGTCAGCTGACCTATACACCGCAAACTGGCGACCAGCAAGCTGCTAGCAAGGCCTAAACGGAAGAAAAGGGATATACATATGTCGAAGAGAATGAACGAGAGACCGATAAGGACGTTCATCCATTGCAGGTTTTGCGACGGTTTTGTCGGATCCGCCAATACGTGTGGCGGTGGTATTGACCATGGCGATGAGGAGGAAGGATGTGATGATGAAGACACGTGAGATGAAGGTGTTGGGTCCAGGAAACTGGGAAGAATAAATGGCGAGTTGAGGAAGCTCTGGACTAGCGGCGATGCCGAGGCCGACTCGGCGAGTTTAGAGGTAAGAGAGAACGAGGCATTATGCTGTAGGATGGTCTGATATTGTGCGAAGAGGGGCAAGAATATGGGAACGAGAGCAGGATGGAAGTATTCCATTCGATTGTATGATTATTTTCCAAGGAAAAAGGAGGTCGATGTCCGTATGAAATGGTTATGCGAGGGGAAAAGAGCGTGAAGTGCTGGGTAAATTGAAAGAATTAATGGTTTCTTGCGTCGTATTCGTCGTTGTTGCAGTCGTTAGATTTGTGCCACGACAGTAAGAGAGAAAAGCAAGTTGTGGTCCAATTGCTCCCGGTTCAGTATGTTGTGTGGTGGCGATGACGTCGACGGTATGGAGCTCTGCCGGCGCTTAACACCTATTTTTAGTGGTATGGCCTTTTTCGTCCTGTAATTGCTTGAAGTTCACCGTGAAGTGTCTGCGACTTCGAGGAGGGCAAACTTGCGATAAGAAAGAAAGGGAATCCACAGCAAGCTACCTTCGGGTCTTGGATTGAAATTAAAAGGGGTGGCCGAACTTTTCTAAAGCCCCCGAGCCACTCAGGAAGCGCCTGATGCCTCGGTGTTAGGTCCAGCCAATCAGCAGGCAATAATTTCAGAAGCCCTTGATGCATGTTCTCGTTATCGGCAACACATTTCCCTTCTTGACATTCGACGATTCAATGAAAGACGAGGGGAGTGTGAAATAATCAGCTTCTTGGGTGGATGTGTACGTTACAAGGATGCTATCACCTCACATCGCGAGTTTGTGAGTCTTTTCAGAAGAGGATCTAGGGTTCAGGAGCGGCGATCCTGGTTCCTTAGCTTTCGAGTCGTCAGGGGCTCGTCCTCTAAGTGACCTTTGCCAAAGCCCAGGGGTCAGTCGCATATACAACCCATTAGGCACTTGGCCTTTCAGATTGGGATCGGAGAATTGCTTTGCTCGTCTGACCATGTAGTGGAAGGTCTGGAACTCTTTTGCGTAATGTTTTAGAGTTTAACGCACAAGCACCCGTCAACACGAGTGCAACGAGGCTCAGAGAATTCTCGGAAGCCCGTCAAGTGCGTATCTGTATGATGCAAAGGAGGGTCAGGGGACCTTATGCACGTATACATGGCTCATAGCTCCATGGTATTCTCGTTGCATGACCATAGCGAGCGCTGCTTCGGACTTCGACAACCTGAAAGTCTCTGACGCCCAAGATACAGCCAATCTGGCCAAGGAACGAATTTAAGCACCGCAGCAAATTCTCTTTATCCTAAGCATGAGTGTGTGCATTACGCCCCCCTTAAGCCCGTATCCAAACAGAGTCGATAAGTAGCTAGCTTAGGCGCCCGACATGGCGCTTACCGAGGGTCACTATAATGTGTTTGCCGGTGGCACTGACATCCTGGAGGGTTGGAGGGATTGGCATTAACACGATCCATTTATACTCTGCTTGAACTTGCTATACCACACACACACGCACACACACACACTCTCTCTGCTTCCTTCAAACCCTCTTGTGCACTGGAAACCAGCCAAAAATGACCCTTTGCCTCAGAGGCGCTACCAGGATTCGAACCTGGGTTTCGAGAATGGTAAACCATCTTCTATTGTCACAACTATATCAGAATCTCGAGTGATAACCACTACACTATAGCGCCTGTCTGTCATGCGTATCCGGCCTTTGCCACCAGTATCCAATGTTGCCTCGTGCTCTTGCTCACCGTTAGGGGCTTGAGATGGTACACCGATGGACCGCAATGATAAGTTCTGCAGAATAGTTCGTCCAGACCGTTAAACGGTCTGTTTGGCGCAGAGCAATTGATGTCAAGAAAAGCTCATGGACATCCAGTCACCAGGCTACAGTTCATCTTGGGCAACGACAGACATCCAGCTCAGACGCTTGAACGTAGTTCATAACACACCACGGGCACATTCCATTGTGATTTCATGGGGTCGTTGGGAATCTCGTGGGTAGGAACGTCGACTTCCTGTTCATGGTCTTCGACAAGCAGGTGGACCGCTTGTGTAGCCAATGAGCTGGAGCCGATGAGCGCATCGTCGAATCCTAGGTTCCGGTCGCTCTCCTGCACGGCATGCCTATCATGGACGTGATGGAACGTACCTCAGCGCACTCACACAGAGCGTGCTTCGGAACGAGTCAAGCCAGTAGCAAAACCCTCTGTGGGGATTCAACCATGTCGGGGAGAGGGAGCGGATGTCGACCAGGTATTTTTAGACGAGATGACTGGACAGGTTTAGAAGCTATGATAATGCAAACACTAAAAGTATGCTTAGTTATCCTTTCATGAAGCACTCGCAAAGAGAGGGCTTACCATGACAGAGGGCAGACAGTGCGATGAGAGATACAACAACAAGAATATGGAGATACAGCGGCATAGAAGACGAGCAATGAAACAATGACAGTGAGAGCGTGCATAAAGTCCGAGATAAGCAAGCCATTGAGGCGTGCGGAATGCGAGTGAGAGGGCAACGTCGAAGATATCGACACTCAGAACCAATACTATCTTTCCTGTTAGCCAAACAACCCGATTCGAGATAACCATAAACACGCACTCCAGGAAACATAGGCAAAGAAACCAAGCTTGAAGCAACAAGCCCCAGCCGTTGCCGACTCCGGCTTCTCTCGTCGCCTCTCGAAGATGTTCTCGAAGGCCTCGGCTGAGGCTGGATTTCGTCCACCAGCGTGGATGTAGAGGAATAGCTGCTATCAAGAGTGTAGCCTCTCGATATCGTTCCCCGTCGTGGAATCAAAGGGTTTGAACGCGTGTTCAATGAGGATGGGGGATGGGTGGGGGATTGGTCGCGTGAACGTCTTCGGTGGAAGAGGGATTTCAGTTTCATTCGAGAAGAACGCGTTTGGGCAGGCATTGTGTTGGAAGTTGAGCGCTGTCGAGGTCTGGAAGCAGACTGTAGGGGAGGAACAGTCGAGAAAATGGCAGGGTGCATTGGATAGACGGGGTTATTCACCAACGCTAGGTGCCGAGCAGATAACCAGCAGGGAGAAGACGGGAGAAAGGGAGGGTCTGCAGGGAGCGGACTACGCCCTATAAATGAGCAGGTAGAGTGGGGCCAACTTTACGTGGTCCTCGAGGATCAGCCTTAGAACGATGGAGGCTGGGCCCGGGTCCGAAGAGTGTCGAGATATTTGCACTAGAAGGCGTTCTATAATGGAAGTTGGAACACAAACAGACGAGCGTCGATCGTTCTTCTTGCCGAGCGAATGAGCATCCAGTGACAGAGTCTCAAGCCAAGAGAACGGCAAACAGCGCTGGTGAGAAACAGAGTGCGAAAAGGGTCTAGCAGCCAAGTGTATGATGAAACACAGCATTCTGGATCCTCGAGGTGATATGAGTGGAAATTGCCACAGATAAGAGGTTTCAATCAAGCCAGGAGACATGAGAAAATGACGACCATTTTGGCAAGCAAGACAAAGAACAACGGGCGGCCAAGGAGATGGTGGGCCAAGTCTAGATGTGGGCGTCCCTGAGCGCTATGAAGTTGTTATGAAGCTTCCAAAAGCAAGAGATCAACCTGACTTGAGGCGGTTTTTAGCCCTGTGTATACCGCATGACCGCTAAGACACCATTTTGCAGAGGGAATAAAGGGGGACTTCCATGAAGAGAAGCAGAGGGCTAATGAATTCGATCGTCTGGGTGCCTGACAATCAAGCCACGGGTTCAGATTCAATGTAGTAACGACATTGGAAAAGACATACAAACATGCATACCTTCCCTGGTAGATTCCCATGAATGCCTTGAGATCCTATTTGAGGGTCAATTGAAGTCGACTTCTTCGCTCAGCGAAGACTGGAAGCTTCTATGGCCTGAGATAAGTCAACCCTAATAGTATCTTCTTGGCTCTGCCACGATATAATAGTGACTTCGACCAGGGTAGCTCAAATCTCAGAGGATCTTATCGCATGTGTTGAAAGCCACCAAATGAGCCTTCCTTCCCCTGTTGAGACGGGGACTAAATAATTCAAACAGCGCTCGGCCTCACCCGGCTCTGACTCTCCACCGACTTCAAAACGCATCTGACAACAGTGGCCCTTGGCTTTTCCGAAGCAGAACTGGTACGACCAAGGCATTTGGTCCTTCCGAAAATGCTGGCCTAAGGAAGGCTATTCCTATACAATTCTGTTGTAACGATGTCGAAGCATCGGCGAAGGCAACACATGACCCCTTCATTGATCCTTTGCATCCTTCTTACCCCGCAATTACAGTCTTATTCTGGGTGCTTCAGCCTTCTTCTGGCGTTGAAGCAACCTGTCACCCGCGCCAACGATCAATGTGATGGATCCCCCACATTTCCCCACAACTTCTTGGCACGGGATGGAGCATCTCGACGTCGAAGGCCAAAGTCTATAACCGTGCGGCGTGCTCAGCTCCGAAAGCTTTGCCCATACAACGTCTTTACGTCTCTCGGGAAAAGCTTAACTAGGTTACGCATTATGGGGTTCCCCGCCATACGATGACTCTATGGCGTATTGAAACGACGATGTCCGAGTCCTCCTGCTCCATCAACGAAAGGCCCTTCCGAATTGTGCGTTACTTAAAAGCATGCGTACATTTGGGCTTGTCATACCACCACCTACCCTCACACCCGCTTTGCTATGCCGCGAAATCTACCCTCTGAAGTCACGGACATGGTCCTTGATGCACTAGCCGCCAGTGACCCACTCTTGCTGTGTTCCTGTGCCCTCGTATCATCATCATGGCTTCCCCGTTCTAGGTTCCATCTATTCTCAACGTTGCACCTCAAGCCATCGCATGTTTCGCCACTAGTTGCCCTTTTCAAAGAAAGCCGAGGCGACTTGCCAAGGTTCGTCAGGCACATCGTGCTGGATGGCAACTTGCTTCCACCGCAATGTTGCCCTGATGACGCAAACCTGGAGCAAACGTCAACCCTAGCAACGGGGGCTCCAGATACACAGGCGCTCGTGAACGCGCTCGCGTCACTCGCCAGTGCCGATCTTCAATTGACTTCACTGTCACTTCAAAGGATCGACTTTACCCTCATCCCACCTAAACAAGTGGCCCAAATTCAACAACATCTGGCCTCATCATCCTTCGCACCTACCTTGGAGAACCTGATATTTGAAGATACCACATTCCAAAGCTTCAAACAAGTGCGCACTCTCCTTCATCTCTTCCCCAGCCTCCAAGGGGCTACCTTCGCAAAACGCGTGGCATTTCTCAGGCATCGCGATTTCGCTTGTGTAGAGGCTACAAACCTTCCCTGGAAGGCCGGTCTCAAGCACATCCGCATCGAAGCTGAAACGATGAAAATGTGGTGCCGATTATACTCTCCTGGATCGCATCGAGCCACGACCTCACCCTGAGGGCTCTTCAGACGCTCTCAATCGACGGTTTCCATGAACGCAATCTTTCACTGCTTGAAAATGCGATTGTGCGCGTTGCACCTCGCCTTCAACACCTCGAACTTCGCACTAGTCGCACACTTACTCGTCTATCTCGCGGTATGTCTGTATCCCTCTGATCTTTCCTTCTTGGAATTGATTTATGGTCTATACTAGATACTCTCGCTAGGGCAGTAGCGATCTTACCAAGCTGCCGTTTCGACTGCCTTCCCCAGACAGTTAGCCCAGTACTCGAGAATGCTGTGTCCGTTTGTCATTGCAGAAATCCTCAATGATCATATACACCGCCCTTTGCTGAGGTCCTCCCGCACTGAAAGTAGAGCGAGGTTCTTAACGTGAACGGCCTCATGCCAATGGTGAAACCCATTCGGTGAGTTCGTTCTCTATCCTCTCTCACTCTTCACACCGTCACATCCCTGATTAACAAAGAAATGATGGATTGATGATGCTTTGAATGAGAGGAAAGAGCGACAAAGAACATAAAGAACTTGCTTGTCATCCGCCATGTCTTCAGTGTTTCATCGGGTTGAAAGTGCTTTCATCCTTCGATATAAAAGCTCGCGAGGAGGTCGGCCAAGCTCTTTACTGCTGGCTGCTTTAACCCTCCTCCCCAATACCTCCCTTCGCCAGCTTGCATCGCGTTACCGGTCCCTAAGAAGTGAAGCTCAGATCCAACGCTCTTCTCCAAACATCAGATTCCGGAAATATGCCCCTCATCCAAGGCTTCGATGTTTGCATAACTATAGATGGCCGGCAGCTAGGCGAATATCAGCACGAGTCGGCGGAAGCCTTCGATGCTCCTTCTGCGACTTGCTACATTCCATCCCAGGCGGGGAAGGTGAGCTACCATCATGCGTACACTGTATCGGCTCTAAAGGGAGTTAATTCCAGGACTTCGAGGTCATCGTCCGAGGCCCTCCGTGTCCTCGCCCAGGAAATTACCACGTAGGACTTATGCTGGATGGCGTGTGGCCTAATATCCGGGATCCCAATAGTATCACAAAAGGGAGCCTCGAGGGTCGAGTGACACTGAGGGGGCATGAAGCAAGTGATAATGTGTTACACCCATTCCAGTTCGCCGATGTCGAGATCACAGGTATGCCTCCGCTTTAGCTCGCATTTTCGAACCGTCGCTGACCAAACGCGACAGATAATGACACTGCTTTGCACGAGAGATTCGATCGCCTCGGTGAAATCACCGTGGGCATTACTAGATACAGCGATAGCGTGCTGTGCAGGAATCCGAGCTGTTCTCCA